TATAAAAACAGAGCAAAAGCATGCAAAGTTTGGAAAAAAAAAAAATTAATTTAATTTTGTTGGGGTTTGGTAATGCAATTTACTACACCATCGTTTATTACCCAATAGTCAAAAAAAGAAAAAAAAAAGTGTGTTTGGTGTATGTTTTATTAAGTGACATAATTGTTTACAATTTTAGTTGAAGCAACGATTATTTACTTAAGGATTTGATTATATGCGACTAGATTCACCAACAAACATAGACTATTTGTTACAAGAGATAACATGAGATGAATGCGTTAGGACAGTATTAATTAATTAGATTGGAGCTTAAATAGGATATGTCCCAACTATGTTTTAATTAGGTCAATTAGTACGGAATTATAATGAAAACAGAGAAAAGTATTTGGAGTATATTGGACCAAAAGATGAAGATATATATAGCCGTAAAAATTAGCTGTTACTTAGAGTAATACTTTGTGATTTTAGAAAAAATATATATTGTGAATGCCTGCATGCATGTCTTTTTTATTTATATTTATTGCATTCAACTGCTACTTTAATAAGTTAGTAATAACCTGGGAAATCTAAATGTTTCCAGAAAAACCATTACTCACTTTCCAATTTTGGTAGACCCAAAAAAAAAGAAACAATAAATAGAGAGTGTCATGTGTAAGCTAAAACTGAATTCAACATCATAGTATACACTTTTTTATAAAAAGAATTCGAATAAACATCTTTGACTTTGTTTGAATTAAATTTACTTGTCAGAGATTTTCAACTGTTATAATACTATTCAGATTAGTAAGAATATAAGACATGAATATTAACCAGTTCAATCAAACATAGAAATGTAAAAAAAATGTTTATATATCCTCCAAACTAAAAAGGATGGTTTCACCATTAATTAAAGCAAAACGAAACTGAACCGGTTTGAGTTCGATCAATATCTCTGAAACCACAAAGAAGCAAAGGAAAATTGATTGAAGTAAAACCGGATCTTTTGGTTAACTAATGACATATCTCTTACTCTAAACAATCTAACCGAACCGATCCCTACATTGTCAAAGTTGTAGCAATGGAAGTTAACTCATTGAAAAATAATCAGAAAAGTGGAGATTATCCTCATCAAAAACTTTTGTGCATCACACCATTGCTCCTCCATCTTCAATAGCTTCATAATTAAGGTACGTATCCAAATTCCTCGATAAATCTTCACAGTTCATAAGAAAATCAAAGAATTGATCATGCTCTTGATTGCACCCATCCAAGTTTCCAGGTAAA